AAGAAGGCGCTGCCATGTATGTGGCGGCCTAGTCTGCAGGCTGCAGATGGGTTCTATGCACATCAGGAGATCGTCTCCGACAAAACTCCGATGCGGGAGACCCATCTCAAGACAGGCCTTGTAAGGCTGAAAGGCCGAAGTAAGAACTACAGTAGATCTTTACTAAATGATGTGATCTCTGGATATCGATATCTGTGGAGTGGTCAGTGGTCACCATGTATTGAATGATCGACTCATGACGAAATTATCCCTCTCTCTCTGACAAAAGCAAGTATCCTGGGCCCAGATCGGTTCTGCCGAGACACTGGCAGCGTTCGCCATGCATCCTGAGCTGCGAGCTGCGAGCTGCGCTGGGCCGATGGGTGCGAGCGTGTGCTCTGGCAAGCTGAATGGAACCGGACATGTGGAGCTATTGGGATGATCATCGGATCCTCCGGTATTGGTCTTCAAAGGTATTGAACAACTATTAATCTCATGATTTATCATGTATAGAAACCGACACAGATTCATGATTCCTGTACTTGGCTCATGGGCCACCCACCCTATTAAAACATGCTGGTCCTGGTCCTATAATTCTTACCACTATTTGAGCCCGGGCCTCACACACAAAGACTTGGCAGCTTGGCATCCTACAAAAGGAGATTGCGATGTGCGCCTCCGCGTTCATTGAGATTGTCTATCATATTTGCTCAACCCTGAAGCAACCAACTCTCCGACTCACAAATGTGAGTCGAGTGGAACACTCCTTTGTTCGTCAAAGGACATACGCAGGCTCTCTGTGGCATGGAATACTTTCATATATATATATATATACCCTAGGCTTCCAACCACCATTAATTTAATAGGCTTTACCGAATCAACTAAGGATTCTCCACTACAAAACCCAGGTCAACCATTTTTGTTCTTGGTCCTGGAAGTCTATAGTAGGGTATACATTTTCACGCTTCAATCACTCCAATCAGGTATAAACATTTCTTGAGGTGTCTGGAAGATTCATGGATCGCTGGCCGTTCCGCAGTCCAATCCACGCATGGGAATATTGGTCTACATTGGGGGTGGTTTCAAGATGTTTTGAGGGTTAGTACATCAGTGTGTATTCTATACAGAGAGACCTCCCAGGCGTCCCGAATTTCTGCTCCCCTGGAAGGTTGGGGATCTCCCCATAAAAATACCACGCGCACACACCTATGTGTTTTGTAGAATCTTGATGAATTTGCATAATTAACCCCGCCCCCCGAAACATGGATGGTAAAACCTACCATGGATCGGTGGCTGATGTGATGTGATCTTCGCCAAGGCACGGCGCCCCGTTGGCTCCGTCGAGATCCGGCGCCGGCCTCGGGCACCGCACGATTGGGGACCCGCTTTGGCCAAGCAAGATGAGGGATTTAAGTGAAACAAAACGTTTGGAGCGGTCAAATCTGCAAGTTCTTTGACTGAAGATGAGAACTTCCTGGTAAATATGTTTCAAGAACAATATTGCCCCCGACTCCGCAAACTGATTGCGAGCAAGTGGCGGTCTTTTGAATACTATGCACATTCTTGCAAACGACCACAGGCCTTTTCCTGTGCACGCACGATCCCAGAATACACCCCGTGCCAAGCAGAAAAACAACAGGGTTTCCCAATCGTTTTCTGAGTGTGTACACCTATGTGCAGTGTGGTTGTGAGTCAACTGATTTGTTGAGTATGTACAACATCTGGAACTGAACATACAGGAAACAACAAGTCCTCGCCTCCAAAGCCTGCGGCATGGCCCCCTGCCTGGCAGAAAGAAAAACAGGAAATGATTCCGAATGATTGTCCTTGGTGGACCTTGTATAGAAATGACTCCAAATGACTGTCCTACCTCCTTTTCGGATGGTCTTTGAACGTCTTTGAGGATAACAACGTCCGGTTTGGATGGTCCCGGATCCTCAGGGACTTTGTCTTAAAAACACGTGTTGTATATAGAAAAATGATAGATGCTTCTCCACCTATGTCTTTCAGGTTCTGCATTGGATGCCTCACCCTTGAGATGTCCTCGCACTGGGAGAATTAAAAAGAACACTGCAAACGGGGTTCTGAGCAATGGACAGTCTAACAGGTCTAATGAAACACATCTTAATAGTAGATCGAGTATATATACTGTAACTCTTCCCAGGAACAAAACAAACACATTCCCAAGTTCAAGCTGAGCCAACTATGCGACATCACCGAATCACTGCCTTAAGACAGCGCAGCGGCACAAACCTCATAGACCAGCCTGGCGAGGCCACTGCAAACGGAGCGGACGTATGGCAAAGCATCCATGTTTGGCAAAAGGTAGTGGTTTTCAACAAGTATCGAGATCAAGACGACAACACATGACACTCATAGCCCAAAAGGGCCTAAAAGCGTTGATTGAGTGTTGAGTGAGTTGAGTGGTAAGGACACGCCAAAATCAATATCGACTGATGCAACCGATCTCCCAACATGAAAGTAAAAGGCACCTCATCTGAGGAAAAACACACATGTCTGGGACATGCAACCCATGCATGCTTCTGATCGCCTTCATGAAGGGAATGTGATTTCCGATTTCCCAGTCCAGTCGGTTTCCCAGTCTTCACAGGTCAAGGTACTGAAGAAATATGAAAGAAGAGAAATCACACACCATGTGTGGCCATGGGATCCATGGAAGGTGGATCTCTGAAAATGGACTCATGTAGACAATGTAGACTCTTGAATCTTGACATCTCTTGACTCTTGAGATTAATAAATCCTCCCCAATTGGACTGAACAAAAAAGGCATTGAAAAACACCTCTTCATATGGAGGAAGGTTTCTTAATGAAGAGTCTACATTGCCGTGGCGGCGGCCCGGTATGTCAACGTTCGACTCCCATGGGCCGAAACAGGCTCCCCCACCCGAAGGATCACACGGTGGTTACGTTACGCCGTTGTCACCGAAAAAGGCAGTGGAAATGGGATGTAAAAGTTCAACACCTCAAGGAAGATTCTGCCTCCCAAACCTCTTCCACAGTCCAGTTCTATGGTCTCTTGGATGAGAACGAGCCTTCACACAAACATCTATTGCTCCATCTGCTTCCACCCAACATCTATAGTTCCATGATTCGTTATGGGCTCCGAGACTTGGAAAAAAACAAACTACAGGCCGGCCAAAGCGCGAACCTTGCATTCCAAAACAACCACAAACAGCACTTGGGAAGACAGCTCGCTTCCTGGCATCGCTTGGGCCAAACGACCGGTATACTACCTCTTTTTGGGACGACTCTTCATCAATCTCCCGCACCCCCGGCGGCGCAACGTTCAGCCCGCTCCAGGCGCGACGCCTCCTTCTACGGCGGCTGGGCCTGGTGAGTTCGATCGAAGGGACCGACGGCGACGGGCACCGCGACCTGAAGACCAGGGGTCACGAGCCCCGGCGTAGGAACCACCGGTTGGGATGACCATCCGATCTCACCACGGGGTCGATGGCAAGAATTGTCCCGAAACCCTGCGCAGGTTCGAAGCGGTGCTTTAAGGTCAGGTTTCACCTGGCCACTGCTGCCACAAACACACCAATCACTCGTTTCCAAAAACAAATTGACGTATACAAATGCTGATTCATGGTCTCTCTGATGAATCTTTGCAGAGTGTATAGCTGGTTGTTTGAGGCCCTGTGACGAGTTCTGGGACTCTGCGGCCTCCTTTCATTCCTCCATCTCATTCATCCTGTCTGCGGAACCGCGCACCTTCTTTGCAGGCCTTGCGAATGTAGATCGGACCTTCACCCGAGAAAGAGTCAGACCAAGCCATCGCCTAACCTCCATCCGTCTTCCCACTCGGACATGCCCGTCGGCGCGTGGACGCCTCAAGGACCAAGTTCCGTGCACATCACGTTTTCGTGGTCTCATCATTCTCTTCACTCACCGGTTCCAATGCACACAAAAAAGACCTCTCAACATCGCGGATTTCATGAAACCTGCCTAACAAATGCCCAAACAAATCCAACAGCAACCAATAAAGGTGTTTCAATGAAAAACAATGTCAAACGGTTTTTGAGAGCCGCTTTTTGGCACTCTCCTCCCCTCAGGGGGTCGTACTGCAGTGCTTCCTTTTTCCCCTTCCGCGCGCGGGTTCCCCGCGCGGGCTCCGGCCTCGCGAGCGCCACGGCAAAGGGCGGCGTCCCTGGCGATGGGCGGTTGTTTGGGCCGAGACCCCTGGACGTTCTTCTCTGATTAGACTAGATTCATGCATATCATGCCATCGTATCATATCCTCTAGTTTAAAGTTAAAAACACTTGTCATAGGTCGATTGAGAGTCCACCTTTCTTGGCATTTGGGCGCTCCCCACCGAAAGCTGTATGGACATCCTCCCAAGTGCTTTGTAGATGAACATCTATTTCTTGTTTTCGCATACTGGCTAGAGTCAGGTAGACTCACCGGCAAAGTTAAATTCCGTTCCAAACCCGATGGAATGATAGATGAACATGGTTTTATGGTCACAGTCCAAGTTCTTCATAAGCTTGTACTTACAACAGTCCTTGCAGCAATCGAAAACACTGTTTCCAGGGTGATACTCTTAGACTCTTAGAGACAAAGTGCTAGGATTTAGGTGACATTACCATCAAAATCATTGTCATCAAAACTATATGAGTGATATAAAGCTGACCCTGTAGCGATGTTGTCAGGTTGGTCATTTTGGTCCATTTCTACGCTGGACGATCCAGGTTTGCCCCGAAACGGAGCTGGAACTGGTCACAGCCAGTGGCACCTCACTATGGTTCCAAAACCAACTCAAATAAAACAATGGTCTGGTCGCGTACTTTTAGGCCTTCAAATACCTCCGTTTTGAAGGTGTTGGGGGTGGGTTGAGATAGTATAAGTATCATCTGAGAAGGTCTTTGGAGGTGTAGGGTACTGCAGCCCCAAAGGACTGACGTTGCGCCGGCGTTTGGGGACTCCGGCCTCCTCCCAGGGGGATGGCAGCGGCGGAGACCGCAGTGTTGCCATGGTCGGCATTGATGGGGACCAAAGAACAGCCCATCCCATACCAACCTCAGGGCGGCCCAGCTCTGCCCAGCGAGCTGAGTAGCGGCGGTTGGGTGGCCGTCTTCTTTAAAGGATCAGGCAGGGGCCCAAGAGTTCACGACTCATTTCCTCATCTCTCATGGCAACTGGCTACTACTTGTATTTTTTGCGCTCACTTTTCCTTACCTCTAAAAATTAATCCTTACAAGTCAAAGACCTAATTTCCTGGAGTTGGTCAAACACAATACGTCAGGAGCTAAAAGACCAGGCTTTACTGGGTCTTTGGACTTGTAGACAGCCATACCAGGCCAAAAAAACAAGTTTGCCTACACACACTTTGAAGGAGCTTGATGTTTTTGTGCAACAAATAGGAAGCAAGCTGGGTTGAGCTCCACAACATCTGGCGCCTACATTGGACGGGACCCTGCGGGTCGACCGGCGAGCGCAGTTTCCTACATCATCAGCACTTCCCCTTCAATACATGCAGCTTGTTGTTGTGGTCGTTCATGCGAAAGCCGCATCAGTTCTGCAACTACGACCCAGTACCTGCTCAGCCAATTTCCGGCAACCTGGCCCGCGCAGCCTTGGGGAATGCCTGTCCTGGCCTGCGACAGCAGTTGCCTTGGGGAAGGCCTGTTCAACGCTGGACAAGGTGCATGGACAACTGGAGTCACCTCTTTCCACGATTGACGGACTTTCACATACTTTTTACACATGTCACTGTCCATTTGAGGGCATGCCATCTATCTCCAGTCCACAAGAATTCAGGATCAGAAGGCAACGCCGTCAAGAACTCAGGCATAGTGCGCCCTGCAGGACCTTTCCCAACCCAACTTCCCAGCGCTTCCTTTGGGGAGCCATGTCAAGTTTGAGGGGTCTCTGGGGTGGCCACCAAGGCGCTGAACATAGCGGCCACATGGGCAATGACCAATTCAACAACTTGTGCCTCGACCCCACTTGGAACCAAACGCCAGCACCTCACCCCTCACACCCGCTCACCACCCACCCTTTCACAGCTCGAGCTTGGCATCCAAGGCACAACCGATCGGTGCAGTAGGACCATCATACCAAGCAGCGACCATCCCATGCCGCGCCAGGACCAAACGCGGCGGGGCCGCCTACGCTGACGGAGTGGGGTCCAAAGGGTGCCGAGGGTGCCAAGGGTGCGAAGGGCGCCACTGACCTGAATGGTGCCAGTGGATGTTGGGCTAGGACGACATGATTTTTTGATGATGAGGTGGTGAGAATGGACGATTGTACTGACGATGGTCTATGCTGTAAACCACCAGCAAACAGCAGCAACCAATACTAACAGGACAACTCTGCGCAACTAACCCTGTGATCAAAGCCCACACTTGTTGTTCATGACTATTCAATCAAACCACTGGGCGCCGTTGTCACCCGGTGCCCGGGGAGGCTCAAAATCACCGCCTTCGCCCAAGGTGCTGGTGGAAACAGCGCCGAGCGGCCGTCCGACCGATCCGAGCTCGACCCGCCTCGGCCAAGAGCTGAGGCCAGTGTGTGGCAGGCCGCACCTGGAGGCCGAAGGACGCCTCTTTTGGGGGTCGAGAAGCAGCCATCATGTGGCTGTGGGTGACCAGGGTAGGTGGACCTTCCAGGGTAAGTCTATATTCTATTCAAAGAACATGCAGGTCAAATCTTTTTCCGCCAGGCCTGCTGGTTCAGTCAGTATACATATGATATTCTCAAATCCTCTCAGTCCAAGGTCCTGGAACCTTGGACCTGTGGAGAGACTCATCCTGCAAACTCTAGGAGGTCCTCTAAACTTAGAGGGAAATGTTTATAGATGTTTATAGTGGACCGTAGAGGATCTCATAGAGTTAGTAGATACTCCAATGCCAGGAGCGAGTGAAAAACACAATTTTTGTCTTCCCGTTTTCCTTTTCACCCAGAACACCTGCACAGGAACAGGACAATATGGTTCCACATCTGTCAAGGACAGATCACACACCCACATGAACAAGTCAACAAGTGAACTCTTGCCATCACATGTCTGAGGTCCCTCAAGTTCAAGTGGACACAGGAGTCTACCAGGCACCCGCGACCATCAGCATCAACCTCCTGGTCTACTCGATCGACGCGACCACTACCGGCCTCTGTGACACGACCACTACCAGCGCGGAGATCTGCCCAGCGCAAGGTGCTGCTGTTCAACAAGGCGCAGGACGAGGGCTCTCCAACCTCGAGGCGTAGGGAGGTGCCAGCATGGAGAAGTAAGAGTTGAGTGACATGGACATGATACTTCATCGTGCCCCATCTGCACAGATCGTTACGGCCCCTAAACAATTGGAGATTCAGCAATAAGAACAGTGATCTGTTGAATCAATGCTGCAAAATTATCTCGAGAGACTCCTCTGGCAAAAACCTTCAGTGGGTCTCTGTTTCTGGGTTGAAGCATGGAACCCAACATAGTCCAGGTGTCTGTCTTTTCATTCTCTAAATGCCGACGGGCCCAAACACAAAGCGCTACAGTACATGTTTGGGCCCATGCCATTTGCAAGCAGCAAGCACTCACCATAAATCGCCATAATATGCCATAATATCTACCAGAAGACGTACACAATCGTACACAACTTTCAGACTTCAAGACATCAGCCATCACAGCTGCCACCCATACCAGCACCGAGTGACGTTCACGCTGACCAAGGTCTCTCCTTGACCGGGCGATCGCTCTGCCACAGGGACCAAGCGTGGAGATCGGAGGTCCCACAGGCGCACTAAGCCATCCGCCTCGGAAAAACCGTGATCGAAGGCGATTGGAGGGTGCCAGGCTGGTTCCAAAGGAAGCGGCCGTTCAATGGGGCGCAAGGCCGGGCCTAACAGGCGCTGGTATGGGTAGGGGTGTCTCGACGGACATATTGGGGTCTAATAAGAACCCCCCCTAGAAGTCATGAACTTCTAGAAGGCTGCTCTAAGGATTCATCTACTCACAGTAGAACATTGAACCCTTCTGGCTGGAGCGGCACACAAGTTACTTGGCGGGGAATTGGCGATCACCACCACTTGGAGCATGACCGCAACTCTGGCAGAACGATGCAGAACGATTAGTGACTAGTGATCCAACATGCCATTGCGGCGTCCATCTACTTTTCATCACCGTCCATTGGATCACGTGGCTCTCGTCGCCATTCCCGACGCAGCTTCCGCGGAGAAAAGCGCAGTTTCCAAGGTTCGGCACGAGGTGCACGGCACTCCAAAGTTGAAATGGATGGAAATCAAAAGAACCAACCATCAACTACCTGGATTCTCCTGGATCATCCAATTGGTGTCCAATGGAGGTCCATAAGCAGTGTAGGGCAGTCTATTCGACACCAATTGGATGACCCAGGTACTTGGGAGTCTGCTGAAAAAGACCCAGTCTTTGACGGTGCCACTACGGCGATAGAAGCTGAAGATGCTACTGCTAAATGGAACTAGCTTGCTTCTGAAGACTGGATCCCAACTCTCAAGATACATGCAGCATCAGGACTTCGGTTCTTTCATCCAGGGACAGGTCAAGACCAAAGAGCTGCAACCCTCAAAGGCACCATCCGGAATATAGGTCACAAATCTTGGGATGGTCAAGCTTGCCAAAGATCTGCAGTTCTCAAAGGCACGATTCCCAATGTGGGTCACGGAGTTCGG